TCTTTTTTAATCTTTTTTTAAAAGTAAAATAAAAAATATATACAAAGTTGTGGATTTTTTTTTTGGAATTTACTAATATTTTTGCGAAAGTTCCATAAAATTTCTACAATATTTTGTCATTTATCATTACGTTTTATTTAGAAATGAAAATTTATGTAAAAATATCAATATTTATTGAAATATCCATAAAACTTTAAGATATTTTGTAAAAAAAAATACTACACCACTATTTTTATATAGGCACTTTTAAAATACAAAAATGTACACGAAAATATTAATATTTTCATCCTCGGTTGAGAGAAGCAAAAAGGGCATAGGCAAGAGAGAGGAAGAGAGAGAGGAGATCGTGTCAGTGGCGGCGGATCTAGAATCGCTCATCCACCGCACAAGTGTACGGATCTCGATGCCCGTGATGTCGGATCTGTAACTGACCGATAATGGACCGCGAGATCTTGGACTCCGAGAGATTTCTGGCGATACCAAATTCCACCGTCGACGCCTCTGCATATCGCGGCCGAGGAAGATCGTCCCAGAAGAAGGGAGAGAGAGGAGCGCAGAGAAAGATGGGTCGAGGAGAAAGAGAGGCTAAGAGAAAGATGGGCAGAGGAGAAAGAGGGGGTGCAGAAGATGAATGGCGACGGAATGAGAGAGAGTGTATGTGGAAGGAGAAATTTTGATGAAAGAGACCGGAAGAAATAAAAATTGGGGATCTAGACCATTTTTTTTTCATAACAAAAAACCACTAAAGTGTATCTTACGTGTTAAAAAATGGACCCCATTTTAATCTATGTGTACATTTTAATTTTTCTTCTCTCAAAACTGAACAGACCCTCACCCCGACTGACCTTTTTTTTTTTTTTTTTCTTTTTCCTTCCATGCCCAGACCCCCTTTCCTCTCTCTCTCTCTCCTCTGGTTCTCATCGACCACCCTAACGTTGAACGACCTTCCCCAAACGCCGACCGGTCCTCACGAACACCGACTGACCATCCTGAACGCCGACCGACCCTCCAGAACTCCGACTCGACCCTCTCGAACGCCGACCGACCATCCCCAACGCCGACCGACCATTTCCACCCCAACGCTGACCAACCTTCCCCAAACACTGACCGATCCTCACGAACACCGATTGACCATCCTGAACGCCGACCGACCAACCCCAACGCCGACCAACCATTTCCACCGACCCTCCGAACGCTGACCCGATCAAAACACCCACGCATCCAGACCACAATTGAAATGGCATCACAAAACAACTCTTCTTCCTCAACTAAGACGGTTATTTCCAGAACTCAAGTCGACGAGGCAACGAAATCTGCTCTCCCTCAAGTAACACTAAGATTTTATTCTCTAAATTAACATTAAGGTTTTATTCTTGTTTTTTTTTTTTCAAAACAAACCAAGAACAGACCAATAACCGGTCGAATAGAACAAAACGCATTAAGAATATACCAATAACAGACCGAATAGACCAAGAACCGACCACCAGACCAAGAACAGACCAAGAACTGACCACCAGACCAAGAACCAACCACCAGACTAAGAACAGACCAAGAACCGACCACCAGACCAAGAACAGACCAAGAACCGACCACCAGACCAAGAACCGACCAAGAACCGACCACCAGACCAAAAACAGACTACCAGACCAAGAACATACCAAGAACAGACCAAGAACCGACCACCAGACCAAGAACCGACCGACCAGACTAAGAACAGACCAATAACAAACTCTAATAAAATATTAAAAACATACATTTTTACATATATTTTAATTTTTTGGGTATGAATAACCATTGTAATTTATAAAAGAGAAAAAAATTTGGTAAAAAAAGAAAAAACCAAGAAAAAACCAAGAACCGACAACACTTGACCAAGAATAGACAATGATATTTTTTTTTTTTTTGGAAAGCTTCGAATTAGTCCCGAAGATTAGAGAGACATTGAATTTATAAAACATAAAAAAATTTGGTAAAAAAAGAAAAAACCAAGAAAAAACCAAGAACCGACAACACTTGACCAAGAATAGACAATGATGTTTTTTTGTTTTGGAAAGCTTCGAACTAGTCTCGAAGATTTTAGAGACATTTAATTTATAAAAGAGAAAAAAATTTTGGTAAAAAAAGAAAAAATCAAGAACAGACTTAGAACCGACAACACTTGACCAAGAATAGAGAGTGATGTTTTTTTTTTTAGAAAGCTTAGAACTAGTCCCGAAGATTGGAGAGACATTTAATTTATAAAAGAGAAAAAAAATTTGGTAAAAAAAAGAAAAAACCAAGAACAGACCAAGAACTGACAATACTTGACCAATAATAGACAGTGATGTTTTTTTTTTTTTTGGAAAGCTTCAAACTAATCCCGAAGATTGGAGAGACATTTAATTTATAAAAGAGAAAAAAAATAATAAAATATTAAAAAACCAAGAACAGACTAAGAATAGACCAAGAACCGACAACACTTGACCAAGAATAGCCAGTGATGTGTTTTTTTTTTTTTGGAAAGCTTCAAACTAGTCCAAAAGATTAGAGAGACATTTAATTTATAAAAGAGAAAAAAATTTGGTAAAAAAAGAAAAAATCAATAACAGACTAAGAACTGACAATACTTGACCAATAATAGACAGTGATGTTTTTTTTTTTTTGGAAAGCTTCAAACTAGTCCAAAAGATTAGAGAGACATTTAATTTATAAAAGAGAAAAAAATTTGGTAAAAAAAGAAAAAACCAAGAACAGACCAAGAACCGACACCACTTGACCAAGAATAGCCAGTGATGTGTTTTTTCTTTTTTTTGGAAAGCTTCGAACTAGTCCCGAAGATTGGAGAGACATTTAATTTATAAAAGAGAAAAAAAATTTGGTAAAAAAAGAAAAAATCAATAACAGACTAAGAACTGACAATACTTGACCAAGAATAGACAGTGATGTTTTTTTTTTGGAAAGCTTCAAACTAGTCCCAAAGATTGGAGAGACATTTAATTTATAAAAGAGAAAAAAAATTGGTAAAATATTAAAAAACCAAGAACAGACTAAGAACATACCAAGAACAGACCAAGAACCGACAACACTTGACCAAGAATAGACAATGATGTTTTTTTTTTTTTGGAAAGCTTCGAACCAGTCCCGAAGATTGAAGAGATATTTAATTTATAAAAGTGAAAAAAAAATTTGGTAAAATATTAAAAAACCAAGAACAGACTAAGAACATACCAAGAACAGACCAAGAACCGACAACACTTGACCACGAATAGACAATGATGTTGGTTTTTTTTTTTTGGAAAACTTCAAACTAATCCAAAAGATTAGAGAGACATTTAATTTATAAAAGAGAAAAAAAATTTGGTAAAAAAAGAAAAAACCAAGAACAGACCAAGAACCAACACCACTTAACCAAGAATAGCCAGTGATGTGTTTCTTTTTTTTTTGGAAAGCTTCGAACTAGTCCCGAAGATTGGAGACACATTTAATTTATAAAAGAAAAAAAAATTAGTAAAATATTAAAAAACTAAGAACATACCAAGAACCGACAACACTTGACCAAGAATAGATAATGATGTTGTTTTCTTTTTTTTTTTTAAAGCTTCGAAGTAGTCCCGAAGATTGGAGAGATATTTAATTTATAAAAGAGAAAAAAAATTTGGTAAAATATTAAAAAACTAAGAACAGACCAAGAACCAACAACACTTGACCAATAATAGACAATGATTTTTTTTTTTTTTGGAAAGCTTCGAACTAGTCCCGAAGATTAGAGAGATATTTAATTTATTAAAGAGAAAAAAATTGGTAAAAAATGAAAAAACCAAGAACAGACCAAGAACATCTTGGTCTATTCTTGGTTTTTTCTCTTTTTACCAATATTTTTTTTTCTATTTTATAAATTACAATGGTTATTTATACCTAAAAAATAAAAAAATATGTAAAAATGTATGTTTTTAATGTTTTATTAGAGTTTGTTATTGGTCTGTTCTTGGTATGGTCGGTCGGTTCTTGGTCTGTTCTTAGTCTGTTCTTGATCTGGTGGTCGGTTCTTGGTCTGGTGGTCTGTTCTTGGTCTGGTGGTTAGTTTTTGGTTTGTTCTTGGTCTGGTCGGTCAGTTCTTGGTCTGTTCTTAGTCTGGTGGTCGGTTCTTGGTCTGTTCTTGATATGGTGGTCGGTTCTTGGTCTGGTGGTCGGTTCTTGGTCTGGTGGTCGGTTCTTGGTCTGTTCTTGGTCTGGCGGTCAGTTATTGATGACGTGGAATAGCTGATGTGGAAGTTGGCCTATTTACTCAATTTATTTTTTTTGTGGTTTATTTACTTAAAAACACTTTTTACTTAGTCTATTTATACAAAGGGCCCATGTGGAAGCGTGAGAATAGAGAGAGAAGATGAAAAATTATGAATAAAAAATCTTCTTTAACGGTATTTTAGTCTTTTAGTACTGGTCAAAATATTGATCAAAGTTAAAAAGGTAAAGTTTTTTTAAAAGGGTAGTTTTTTCGTAGATTTAAATTTGTAATTTAAGTTGAATTATGATATTTTTTTTAAATATTTTTAACTGTAACAAAAAAAATTAGATGTGATATTATTTGAGAATTTTTAATTGTAGAAATTTAAAATTGAAAATTTTATACCTTAATTAGTTTGATAATTTTAG